GTATATGAATTAATATGCATGATAAATGGACTTACTAAGTGTTTTATTGTTACAGGCCCGAATTGCCAACATATTACAACAATACCCAAACTAATGAAGAGCTCAACAACCCAATTGTAGAGACCTTAAGCCATTAGGGTTTTCTATCCCAGTTTCCAACGCCGCAACATGAAGGCCGTTGGATCTGTCATCAGGATCCAATGGCTCACAACGTCCCAAGCATCCCGAGCCAGCGTGCGCAGATGCTCCCAGAACTACAAGACAGTGCGCGAACCAACCGAGTGCTACCCACGTGAAGTCCCTCGGGGCTGTTCCCCATCACCCGTGCCCAGGCAGCTGAAGCCCCGTGACCTGCAAGCACACCAAGCAAGGAGCAGAACGAACGACACAGAAAATAGAAAGAAAAATCAACTAGATATAGCAGTGAAAATGAAATCGAGGAGGAGGAGATATCATCAACCATCAAGGGAAAATCCAGCACTAGAGTCTAAAACCCATTAGCAAATCGAGAACCAAAAAATGATCCCTCAACAGCAAAACATTCCAATCATCCATCAGTGATCAAGGGAACCAAAAACGAAACGTGAAATACCCAGAGAGTCATCTAAACAGCTAGAGAGCAAAACGAAAGTAAAAGAAACTTACCCTCTCGATCCAGTAGCTTCGTCGCCTTGGCTAGGAATCTATACCTCATTTGTGAGAAGGTAAAACCCTCTGTCTCTAGTTGATTTCGAGTCGTGCATGTCAGTTTTAGGCCAGTGGATTCAGGGATTTGAGGGATCTGGTATTGGGTACGAGCGAAGTGGAATAGAATAGGGGTCTCAAAGTAGTTTAGGGTTAAGTTTTCGGGCTAGGGATGGGTTTTAGGTGGTTATCTGTTTAGGTTAGTCACCGGGGCTTTGTCGTCGGAGCTGTTGCTATGGCGGGGGCTGGGGTTTCGCTTAAGCTAAGGTGGAGAGAGAGGGGGAGAGGAAGGATAACGGCGGGGGCTCTTCTTGTCTAGGCTGAAGAGAAATGAAATTAGGGTAAAAAATTTACCCTAATATCCCATATATTAAAACGCCAAAACGACGTCGTTTAGATACCCTCCCAAAACGGCAGCGTTCTGATAGCTGAGGGAATCCGTGTTTTGAGATTTTTAGGGAGTAACTGTGTGCGTGGCCATCCCAACTTTGTTTCTTTTCGATTGGTCCTTAAGCCAAATTTTATTATCATTTTAATTTCGTCCCCTGACTTTCAGTGTATTTCATTTTAGTCCAGTTACATGTTAGGGCTATTTCGTTTTGTTTTTACATTGGATTTGTAATTTTGAAAGCTTTCAATTTGGTCTTATGTAGCACTTTGGTTGTATTGTGTTTGGAGTACCAAGAAATGAAATATTTATGAAAACAGTCTGCTATTTATAGTTTTTATATTTTAGTCCCTTTAATATTTCATGTATGTTTGTTAGGTTAATTTAGAATTATTTTAAGTGTATGCAAGTGGGTATTATTTTGAGCATGTAATCTGTATGAACGTATTTAGGCATATTTCTTTATAAAGCATGTTGGCCTCATTTACTTTAATCGCATGTTTAATTAATTTTTGCATTAACATCACTTTGTATGATTGCATGATAGCCTCACGTGTATAACTCAACTTGATTACATTAATACCCTTTTAATTTAAAACTGTCAGAATAGCTTTTCTTAACTCACAGGGAAGTTTTTCTTGACGGTTTTAAATTACAAGTGTATCCCGTCACTGTCACAAAAAATGGATTCTTCACTTTTAAATTTGGGAGTGAAAGATAAAGAAATGTTCGGCTGTTTAAATTTGTTGAGAAAAGGTCGTTAGAACTGACCTAAAGATCTGGTCTCAATATATTTAAATAATCGAATGTTCTTTATCATTCTAATGGCGTGTTAATTTTAATTTAACTTATTTTGTTTTTTTTTGAATGCTATAAAGGTAGCATCATTGTTGTTTTAAAGGGATCATTAATCAAATTAAACTCGAACTTGTGAAATTCGTTGCAAAGACATTCATTAATCGCCTAGGTACCGATTTAGGGCGTTGTGGGGGTGCTAATCCTTCCCCACACGTAACCGACTCCCGAACTTGGATTTTGGTGACGTAGACCGTAAATTTGTCGTTTTAATTAAAATTAATTTTTATTTAAAATGACAACGTTTTTGGGTGCCCAATCACACCTTAATCAAAGATTGGTGGCGACTCCTCGAATCATATGTTTTTATCGTAAAGGAATTTCCAAATTTTCGAAACGAGAGGTTTTCTAAAAATCGCATTGTTTTTAATTAAAAATTCAATTGAAAAGAGAATAATTAAAAATGACGCGGTTTTTAAAATCTCGCCCCCCACGTTAAAAATCGTTTCGACACCATGGATAAGTATAAGAAAAGTAAACGAATTAATAAAATAAATAAAAGAGATTTATATTTAATTAATATCTATATAATAAAGTCAAATAATATTAATTTCAATTATGATTAAAAATGGATAGAATGGAAAGTAAATTTAAGATATCAATTATAAATAAATGAAAAGAAAATTAAAGTATGGAAAAAAAAGTCAAAGACACAAACATTAAGATTACAACTAATTAAGGAAAATGAAACATTAAAGGCAAATTTATAGTGAATAGCTAATTGACAACGATTTTGTGAAAGTTTTTAAATAACAAATAATTGAAATTAAAACAATTAAATTATAAATATATAAAATTCATAGTAAAAAATGATAATTATAAAAATTAGTGATTAATTTATAAAAGATCAAAATTAAGGGACATTATTCGAAATACCATAAAACCTAAATATTATCAGTGTAATTTAACCTATATAATTATACGGGATTAAAATTAATTTTTTTTAAAAATTAAAAGGATTACTCATGGTATTTTACCTTAAGCATATAAATATACAGATAAGGACTAAAATAGAATAAAATAAAATTCGAATATAATATTAATATGTTCATAAATTGATTTCAGTGGATAAAATAGAAGTTTATAAACTTCAGGTGACTGTGCGTGTAGTTTAACTATTTTGAAATTACACCCAGACTCCTCATCAAAACGACGCCGTTTTGATGAGGGTATAAATAGCCTAAAAACCGGCTCCCTTGAGCCATTTCTTTCAGTTTTCCATTTCAGCTTCTCTCTCTAGGAGAGAGAAGCTCTGCCTTCTCTTTAAAATAGAGAGGGAGACCATCGGCCGGAAGCCATTCTCCGGCACCGTCAACCATCGCCGGCAACGGTGGCTGGAAAACCCCAAAATACCCCCAAAACAGAGCTCTAAACGTCCCAAGGCCCGATCTAAGGTTATTTTAACCTAAAACCCCATAATATATCGTAAATCTACGATTTTCACCTTCGACGTTTTGGTTCTCCGGCGTCGTTTGGAGCTCTCCGACTATAAAGTAAGTTCCTCTCTTCTCTTTTATTTTTGTTTTTGGTGGTTGTTTCGTTATGCTCTGTTGGTTGTTTGCTTGCTCTTGGGTTCCTCTCTCTGTTGATGTTCTCTGTGTTTGGCTTTTTTTTCTGTTTTGCTCGGTATCTCTCGGTTGCTCCCTTTTTTTTTTCTTTTTGTAGGTGTGGTCATATAGTCTCGAAGAGGCTCTCGTCGGACCAGTCAATAGAGGAAGCTTTGGTGAGTCACCGAGCTATGTGGTGACTCACCCCAATAGCTGCGACGTGTGGGGCGGCTGGCTCTTCGGGACGTGGCCCTCTGGAAGCAACGGCGGCGGTTGGGACGTGGCCCTAGGGTTTTATCTGGAAAGCTGTGGACCTGTGGATCAAACCAGATCCAACGGCTGAAATTGAAGCTGGCGGCTGGAAAAGATGAAACCCTATTCAATTTAGGGTTTTCATTGGGCTGGCTCGAATTGAGCCAGAACTAGGTATTGTTGTAATTGGGCTCCGGGTTTTGGGCATGTAATATGTAATAATAATATTTATTAATAAAAATATAATAATAGTAATAATTATAATAATAATTATAACAAATATAATAATAAAAATAATAAAAATAAAACGGACAAAAATTTAATGTCTACATTTTTGAATTCTGATGTGGTGGTTCTGGCCAAGGATTAGTCACCAAAATTTGGCTTCTGTTTTTCCTTCTGAAAGCACAAAAAAAGCTTTTGTCGCCCATCCCCCACACTTATCTTCTCTACGTATTATCCCCTTCTGTGTTGGCCCCTCTATATGCCCCACGTGTCGATTTCTGTCTTGTTTGAGAATCACACGTGTCGATCCACCATCGGTCGACCCTCAGTTCACGTCACCATGATCACTCCTTTTCCATACATAAGAAATTTCGAAATTTTATAGACGAAATGTTAATATTTTATCAACTGTAGATTTTCATTGTTAGGTCTAAAGAGATTAAGAGTGTTTTCTTTCCATTAGGAGATGAAGAGGGGTTTATATCTCAATTTAGGAAGGGATTTTAAAATAGATGTTTACATTAAATTTTTAATATTTTTGAAAAAAGAATAGAGACAAAATAATAAAATTTTAAGAATTCTAAAGAATTAAATGTTAAGTTTTTGAAATCTTAGAGTGCCAAGACCCTATGATACATAACATATTACGGTCTGCTCCTAGATTAACCTATATAAAAAGTTTGGATTTATTTATTTGAGCAGGACAATAATTTATGCATAAATTATGAAATGTATAATGTGAATTATATATATTTTTTTATATTTTTAAGGATTTTAAGTCGTGTCTAGGTGTAATTTAATGTGAATATATAAATCAATATTGAGAGAGTTTCTTTTCACATATATCAACTTCGACAACCACTGCATGTCTTTTGTCAACCACCTGTGCATGAAATCAGCTAACCGAAAACCTAGTATTAGCAAACAATGAAATGGCTTAAATACCCTTTTATACCTCCTCGCGTATGGACTCGAGATTGGATGAATTAAATAGCAAAAGGATGCCGATTATGGTGTGCTAATTAAACACTTTTATCTATGGCCATTTTGAAAGAATGGGGATGCCATTGCCAGCTCTATGACGTTCTTCACTAGTAGACTTTCAGAGAATCCAAAGGAAAAGAAATCTCAGTTTCATCAGTGAATTGATCGTTAAAAGTTGCAGCAATGGAAAGCACCGGCTCATCGACCATCTCGCCGCAGCCGAACCTCCCACCGGGCTTCAGGTTCCACCCCACCGATGAAGAACTAGTCGTCCACTATCTCAAGAAGAAGTCTAGCTCAGCTCCTCTACCGGTGCCAATCATCGCGGAGGTTGATTTATACAAGTTTGATCCATGGGAATTACCAGGTAAAACCTTCTTTTACATATTACGATACCATGGATTTAAACTGTATGATATGTGAATTTGTTTCTGGTTTGCAGCTAAGGCTACGTTTGGTGAGCAAGAATGGTACTTCTTTACTCCCAGAGACAGAAAGTATCTGAACGGAGCAAGGCCTAACAGGGCGGCGACTTCGGGTTATTGGAAGGTCACCGGAACCGATAAGCCGGTATTAAACTCGGGTGGCACTCAAAAGGTCGGTGTGAAGAAAGCACTGGTTTTCTATGGAGGGAAGCCTCCTAAAGGTATCAAAACAAATTGGATCATGCATGAATATAGACTTCCTGATAAGACTAACAACAAACCCCCCGGATGTGACTTGGGATACAAGAAAAACTCACTAAGGGTAATCATTTTTTTTATCAGTTTTTAATTAAAGTTTATGATTCGTGTTGATCTGAATTTGATCGTTTGAAACTCGAATTTCTTGATTTTATAGCTCGATGATTGGGTGCTATGTAGAATCTATAAAAAGAAAAACACAAATAGACCTTTGGACCATGATAAAGATGACTACATGGATGACATGGTTGTACCAGTGCCAACTTCAATATCAATCGGCAGTCTTCAATTCCAAACGAAGGCCACAAGTTCCGGGACATTGCTTGAAAATCATGAACATAACCCGTTTGATGGAATGCTAATGAATTGTTCAAGCTCAAAGTCAGACCTGTCCATGTTTAACCCTCTCAAAAGAAGTATGCCATCGGTTTACTGGACCGATGATGAAACAGCCAGTCCTTCAACAAGCAAGAGATTCCATGGGGACAATAGCAATAACGGAAGCATGGAGAAACCAGACACAAATGGCTCAATTGCATCCCTGCTTAACCAGCTTCCTCAAACCCCTTCATCGCAGCAGCAACAACAACAACAAACAATGATGGGTTCAATCGAAGAGGGGATCTTCAGGCCATCGTATCAACTTCTGGGCCTGAACTGGTACACTCTTAATTGAATTCTTGTTACACTTGTTGATTCAGTCACCAATATTCGATGAATTTGATTGTTAGGGGAAGATAGATGAGCCAAAGTTTCAACTCTTGAGGCCATAGATAATAGGTAAATTATATATATAGTTTGGTGTAGAAAAAATAAAACTTATGGGTAATAATAGTATATATATATATGTATGTATTTGATTTGCTTTAGGAATGCAACATTGAAATCTTGTATAGAATCATTGATCTCGTAGAACATTATTATTAATATATTGATGAATGATGATGCACATTTTAAGCATATTTTGGTTTAATATGATATGTTTACCTCAAATATATTTATTGTTTTTTTCTAAAATATTATATCCTACGTATATAATAAGAAGATGAAAGGAGATCAAGACGGATTGATAGCATTAGGAACTTGTGGCCTTCGTTTATCCACCAAACCAAAATAATCAAAATCGACTTCGAAAACTATCCCACCTCACCAGACCTACCACCACGCTTTGAAGAGGTCCTTTCTCTTAATGTCTTCTTTTTCCAAGGGTCAGCCATCCCATTTTGATTTCGAGGAGCATATATAAATGTAATCGATATATAAATGTCTCTTAATGTCACAGGTTTTCATTAATTGCTTTTATGCATATAAACGCTCGCATCTTAGAGGAGAAGATTAGATCACCAACCGAAATCATTTTCTCTTTGAAAATAAATTCATTTCTTGCTAGCCATAAACTCCAAAGCGCAGCAGCAACAGCAATTAACCATACTTATTCCAAAGGCTCCGGACGATAGGAGTAGAAGCAGAATCGAAAGAAATCCTCCAATGAGCTAGGATTCGACCAAGGAATTGCCCACCAATGAAAGAGAAGGGACCATAAGTTTTGAACAAAATTACAGCCCAAGAACAAATTGAAGATTTCCTCCTTTTCCGATCGACACCAAGGACAACCCTTATCTGAATCATCCACTACAATACCCCTGACCTTCAAGAATTCCATGGTAGGGATTCTATGTAATTTTAGAAACCACAAAAAATCTTTTACTTTTGGAGGAACCTTTAGTTTCCACAACAAATAAAAATTAAAATTTACCTCCTCCAAATTGGACACAATCAAATACAAGAACATCAGTAAGTTTTTCTTCCATTTCTGGATGCAATAAAGACGTTTTTGAATCCTCAAATCAATTGGATATTATTCCTCTATCTCTTAGCTTTCCAACACCTTTTGAATCACCTCAATCCGATACCGAAAGCTTGAGATATGATCAATTTACCGAAGACAGTGCACACTAAAATTTTATTACGGGAATTGCGTGTAAGGAAAGCTTGAACATTCAAATGACTCTCCAAATTCACTCATTCAAGTGCATGAACATCCAACATACATTCATTCTTCCAAATCCATGAACGTGCTGCATTAAAAGCAAATTAAGACCTTCTTTATCATCATTTGAAGTGACCCTTCAAATTCTTCAAGGAGACATACATTGAAGGCCTACTTTAATCTTATGATCAAGGCATTCAAGAAGGATAATTACATGAAGATGAGCATGAAATTTCAAGAGGCACTTCCGTTGTGGACACATAGATGTCTACATTCATTTAAGGGTGTCTACATTCATCTTATACTTCATCATAGATAATCAAGCTTTGGAAGATCAAGGGTTTCTTTCATGTGGACAAATGGATGTCTACATTCAACCTAGAATTGTCTATATTCACCCTAAAGCTTCATCAAGTCTATTCAACAACCAAGGAAGAAGAAAAGATGCAAGTTATTATGGAGTCTTCATTACCATAAAGATGAATACTTAATTCTTTGTTGTGACTTTTAAACTCTAGCCTATAAACACTATAATTAGGTACTTTTCCTTTCATTGTAAACACATCTTGATATATAAAATTACTCTTTCAAAGTTGCTTTCTTTCTAGTGTTTTCAAGAACATTGTCGGCCTAAAGTTTTTTCTTGTGGTCTTCATCTATTTCATTTGTTTAAATCGTTGGTTTCTAACTCCTTTATAGCTAGAGGGTCATGTTCCATCCCCTACCATTTCAATTCATTTTATATTGTTGGTTCCTAGCTCCATATAGTGGGTCACAATCCACCTTTTTTTCTTCCCTACATATCCCATTCCATTAACATCCATCACCTTCACCATCTTTCCTTTTCATCAAACTACAACTTCCATCACCTTCCGCACTATTTCCAAATCACTATAACCATCACATCATCAATCTTTCATCATTCTTTACATTCCTATCTTTCTTTATCATTTTACAAGTTACAATTTCAGGTTCTAAGCAAGCAAGTTCATACACTTACTAGAATCACGATCGGGCAACTTTATATGATTCGGTAACATCATAACCGAAGCCATATCATTTGCTACTAGAGCTATGATGATTCAGTAAGTTATCAATTTTCTATCTCAGATTTGTAAAAAAAAATAAAAAATGAAAAAAATAGAATTTTCAAAAGAGGGAGGGATTTTATCTCATATAAAAAATCCTCCAAGGTTTGTGTTCATTATTAGTTTTCATCAACCATTCATATTGTTATTTCCCCTTATTTTCACTTATTATCTTTTAACCCATTGTACTCCCTACATATATCTTTCCTATCTTTTCTAACTAATTATTTTAGTTGAATTTCACAAGAATTCTTGTCAAGTGTTGAGGAAGTTCCATTAGAACTTGAAAAACGAGTAAGAGTGGTAAAAGACAAGAGTGCACATGAAGGGTAAAAGCCATCTCAAGTGAAACACGAGTTGGAGTGACTTTTTTTTTGGAGTGAATTGGTGAGGTTTATTATTCATTTTTATTAGTAATCATGTCTCACACTTCTAGATACAATTTTCATATTTTAGGAGAAGGTGACGACCACAATGATGGTGGTGCTCCTAACTTGCAAATGCAAGCCATAACACGAGAGGTGAGGAGTTTTCTCAAAAAGCATCAATCTTAAAGAAATTGGAGTGAATGATGGAAAGACCTTTTTGTTCACAAACGTCTCCACCAAAGGTCAAAAGCCAAGTAAAGATGAGAGATGACAGTCGACCTTTTTCTAATTCTACATCAAATTGGAGCGAAAGATCTTACAAGGAGGATTTCATACATAATGTTAAAAGATTCTCAATTTAATACATGATGGTTTTTGCAGTTAACAGATTCACCCACTTCCGTCACGGAAAGTGACGTGGAACCCTACGACAACGACAAGTGGCACTTTAAAAATATGTTTTTTTTTAATTTTTAGGTAAATTACACGATTCATCACTCAACTATCTTCTCACTCTTGTTTTAGTCACTAAAGTTAATTTTTTTAATATAATTATTAAACTATAGAATTACTCCGATTCTAACCTGTAATGTCGATCAACTCCGATTCTTCAGAACAAGCCTTCGTCATCGTCGAACAATTTTCGACTACCACTGCAATTCCCACGGGGAACGAACATGACATATCCACAAGCATTGCAAGCTAACCCATGTTTTCTCCTTGTAAAATGATCAAGAATCATCAATTTTGTGGGTTAATAAATCCCGACAAAATCATCGATTTTATGGGTCTTAAAATGGGCTTAGAGGCAAGTTCTTTAGGACTAGTAAAGTTGGATGAAGATGATGAAGTTTTGCCTGATTCGAAAAAACTCCGAAGCTTTTGAAATTTACCATTGACGGAATCCATTGAATCGTGAAATTTGGGAATCGAAGCCGGTCGATTTTGAGAGTATTGATTCTTGAGGAACAAATGAACCTTGGGATGATTGAAATCAAATTTGGATGGGGCGTGCATCGTAAATAACTACTTCTTTTGGTGATGGATTTAAATGACTTATGAGTAGCCATGGATTGAATGAGAACATGTGAGAGAGTTACAGATTTTGGTGATGATTTAAACGACTTATGGGTTGTAATCCTTATAGAAAACAGAAATGGGCTAGCTTAGCTGCTGTAAACAGCTATGGATTCCATGTTTTCAAAATTTTCTAACAACTATGGGTGCTTTGTTGGGAATTTTGGGTTGATTCTTTGAAAGAATCGATTTCCATTGTTCCTATCTTGGAGAACAAAATTGTGGTTAAGAATGTAGAGCTAGATCAAACTTTGAAGGAGATGGAAAGTCTGAGGGATGAAAATGAGGCGTTGAAAACGAAGGATGATGAAATTAAGGGGGAGGTTGAAAAAGAGAGGAAAGAAAGTGAGATTACCAATTGATAATGACAAGCTTCTAGTTTAACTGTTGCTAGAGAAATTCATATATTCTAAGCTGCTCAAGTTACCAATCCATGGAGGAAACTCACAGGTAAAATATGTTTTCTAGGAAGATTGGGCTGGGGAAGAAAACATAGGGGAAAAAGGTAAATTGAAGTTTTATCACTGAACTATTTTGGATTTATAAAAGACCCATGATTAGCTATTTTGGATTTATAAAAGACCCATGATTAGTGACCAAAATAAAAGAGAATAATACTTGAATGATGAATGATGTAATTTATCTAAAAAATATAAACATGTTTTTTAAGTGTCACGTGTCATTTTATTAGTGGTCTTAGGGTTTCACGTCACTTTCAGTGAAAAAAGTGGGTGAATCCGTTAACAGCAAAAAATATCATGTATTAAATCGAGAATTTTTAAACATTATGTATGAAACTGAGAATCGGGTATAATTCATGTATGAATATGGTAATTAACCCAAAAAGAAATGAGAGTTGAAAAAGACATTAAGATGAAGAAAATGAAGATACCTTCAAAGAAAAATAAGATAAGAGTGAAAAGAATGAGTTTTAAAAAGAAATTATTTATGCGAGAGAGTCACATTTCATTTTTCACTAACTTTAACCATTCTTCTATTTTTGATTTTTCATTGTCACAGGATTATGGAACGATAACTTTAGGAGAAATTCGTTGTTACCAGTGTTTGGGAAGAGGACACATTCTGAGCCAATGCCCTAACTGTAGCATTGTAATTCCTAAAGCCAAAGGCGGAGTTATCACCAAGGATGGTAAAAAAAAGGTCATAGAAGAATTGAGTAAGTACGATCATTCCTTATTTGCTTACACCACCAATAATGAAATTATTTCTAGTATAATTAAAGGTGAAGGAGAAATCACATCCGATGATGTTTTGGAACACAGAAAGGCAAAGAAGATCGCATTTTCTACTGAAGGATATTTTTTAAAATCCACTCAATACATGATTGTTTACTTCACATATGAGACTTTGGTGGATCAAATTGAAGTGCCAATAAAGAAAATTCAACATTTTAAATTGGAGTGGTTGATAGATGAAGAATAAATTTTACTAAGACCATGGCAAGAAACTAGTCAGATTTTGTTTGATAAAATCTTAATCAAATTTCCAGACTCGTTTAATGGAAGGTCGATTGTTCAAATTCTTGAGGTCATGCAACAAGATCAAGATGTCTCATTCCAACCAAAAGTGATTCAAAATTTGGCTATTAATGTCTCAAAATTTTTCAATGATGTTGTTTCATTTCAGGAAGCTAGCAAGCCACTGCAAGGAGTTCAAAAGGACTTCTCCATCTATGAAAAAACTTCTTTTTTCTTGGTGATGAAGAACATTTCACCAATGGTGTTTTCAATTCAGGGATAAACCTTTCTCAATGGCGAGAACTTAATTGGATTATTCTACCTATGGCAAAGATTTTTCCATACTTGCCATTGAGGTTTGTTCTTCTATTAATATTTTTGATTCGAGGATGAATCCCTTTAAAGAGAGAGGGAGTGACGTGAGCACGGTTACCAACCTTATTAAGTTTTCATTAGTCTTTTGAGACCATTTGATCTAGGTAAATTGATAGCCTCCAAGAAATCTCAAGGAAATAATCCTAGTTCAATCCTAAGTGAGCAAAGCAATTTCGAATCAATGAAGGTGTATTTTAACCCGAATGAATAACCTCCACCATCATCGACGATCTATAAGGCTAATTCTAATGGATTTCTTCCTTATTTCATCTTTTAATTGTGCATGAATTTGCACGGGTATTAATAATTTGCATGCCCTAAATTTGCATGAATAAATAAGCATGTTGTTTCATCTAAAGCATGTACTTGATTTAAGCATACAGTTCATTAAAGCATGCAGTTCAATTAAGCATGCTAGTTTATTTAAGTATGTTGGTTCATTTAATAAAGCTAACTCATTTAAATATTTCATGACATGTTTATTTCTTAATTTTTTAAGCATAAACATTTGCTACAATTATGTCTAGTTGCATGAAGAGAGATGAACAGTCACATCAAATACAAGAATAATAGTCAGTTTGTCTTCTATTTTGGATGCAATAAAGATGTTTTTTGTAACGCCCTACACCAGTACGACACACTGTCAACCAATGAGAGTGTCACGCGGAACCACCGGAGTGGCTAACCAACAAATTCCTTATCATACTCACTTGAAATTAAAGCTTCATGTGTAAATACTTGTAATAAAATAGAAAATAAAATGCATGTAAAAATAGTTTACAGTCGGGATCTCCCACAATTACAAAATAAATCAGAATATACAAACCACATATTTAAAACAATTTATGACTCAAATTTATAAAATAAAACTTTGAATATACATGCCCTCTAGAAATTTGAGACGTACACTTCTCTGTTGTTTGGTCTAGACTTCTTATAGTCAAAAGGCTCCTCTACTGATCTTTACCTAATATACGTAAGGAAACAAACTCCAAACGCTAAGCTAACTAGCCCAGTGCCAAACTAACAACTAAAATATATTAACAGAGGTGCATTCACAACATGCTTTAATAACTGAAAATAATACAACATTAGTGAGTATCCTTGCGATACTCACTCCCTATGCTAGGGTAGACATCATGGTGCGGCTGAGGGATTTCTGCATCTCGGAGCTTACACACTCTCTAGTCTACCGAGGATGTGGCCCCCAGAAATTACTGCATTAGACACCACACCCCTAACTAGTCCACCCCTATGAATGTCAGACTTTGCACCCTAGCTAGTCATTTTTAAGGGCCTTGTGCCCTACATATAGATATTAGGATTGTATCATACTTTCGACACCCTAAACTAGAGGAACTCAACTGTCCGAATTATTTTCCAAGCATCAACCAAGGCTAGTTTTTTGTCACTCTAATTATTTGGTTTCTATGTTTGAATTAAACATCGTAAATATTTTCACTTGTAATCTTATTTGATAATATATTCAAGTATTAGGGTACCTCAGGATTAATTCCTTTAAAACGATCCTTTTTACCCAATAAAGACTGAGAGTATCGATAATAGCCCAAAAGTATCGATAATCCTGCAAAAGTTTTGATACTTTATATAAGTACCGATACTTTTAGACATTATGTTCTACCTAGTTTTGATACTTCCTATGAGTTTCGAAACTATGACTCGAAGTTTCGATACTCTTGAAAGAGTATCGATACTTCTGCCCAGAAAACATGTTTCTACCCAGAAACGAAGAACAAGTATCGATACTAGCCCAATAGTATCGATACTTGACCTGCATAAGAATTAAAATCAAGTAACATCCCAAAAACCAGGTTAGTGACTAAAATAGAAGTTTTTGAAATTTGGTGAACAAATTATGAAAATTTGAAAGTTTAAAGACTTAATTGGGAATTTTATTTAAGAGGATTGATTGGTAGATTTGAAAAGATTAAAGGGAAAATGATCATTTGATCACCAAGATAATTGTTTGAGATGGGATATATATGTTACACGTGGGATGAGGAAAAAGGGAAAAAAAGAAAAGTTCCAGAGTTCTCTTCATCTTCTTATTCCTTTCAACCGTGGAACCAAGTGGCTAAGGTGAGTTTCATTGTTAAATAATTATTCATTGAATTTAAGAGTGGTTTTTGATCCTTAAGTGATACTTAAGCTTAAGGAAAGCTTAAGTTAACTTTAAATCAAAGAATGAATGAGTTATGAGAGATTAAAGATTAGGAGTTTTTAAATGAAATTTTGGAAAATAGTTTATAAGTAAAATTGGGAGCTAAATTTGACTTGTCATTAACCTAATTAATAAGTATGAAGTGTTAAAATTGAAATTAGAACATGTTGAAAATTGAGTATGATTCTTGAATTGTAACACCCCAACCCATACCCAACTCAAATACGAGTCCGAGGTGTCACTTTGACTTTTCAAACTTTGACTCTTAAAGAAAAACCCCGGGAATTTAAAACTTTGTTTAAAACAAAATATGTTAATTTACATAAAAGAGACCACAAAATACAAACTCGATCAGAGTGCTCATAATTAACGACTTATTACATGCCAACACTCTATACACAACAAAATACCTACTTTGTCGATTACTTCTGATATGATCTTCTAGTAATAATACTATCATTGCTACTTTTATTCTTCCTCTTCTCGTTTGGTACCTACGTATAAATCACTTACATGCTAAGTCATAGACTTAGTGAGGCAATAAATAAACGTGTAACAGTAGATTCATGAATATGCATTCTTACCATTTGATCATGATATTTCAATATGCATGTATATATTTCATATGACATATATAACCAAGTCATGCACACATGAAACTTACCTTTTTGCATCACTTTCACTTTAATTTATATTTCAATTACCCATGTATATTGTTGTTGAGAACAAAGGTATGTGAGTACATTGAGGTTGTGCACTAATGCTGTCACCACAACTCGTATAAATTCCCTCATGGTCACCGAACATTTGTTCAGTATTCGTCCCGAAGGACTGCTATATATGTCTCGTAGGACCACTACGTCCCGAAGGACTACAATACCCTCGACTCTTGGCATGCCAACTATACTTATAGCTCTCGTATCATATACTATGTGCATTTACGATGAATACATTTCTCATCACTTGTTCTTCCTTTTCTGTCACATACCACATGTATGTGTAACCATGTATTTCATATCATATCACATAGCTTATCTCATTTCACATTGGTCATGTCTCATAGCATATATCACATATGCATATAATCATGTATATCATATCATATATCTTATGTTTTATGCTCTTATGTCTATACATATCAGGTAACATATATAATAACCTATACCCATTTCATGTATTCATGCACATATAAGAATCACAAATCAAATAACATTTTAGGAGTCACTTCTTACCATAGTAACTCCATCACTAGCTCATCGCAAGCCAATGTTCGTTCAATAATATAAGTACAATTAAAATTGCACTCACCTTAACCTTATTTGCTTTGATTCGATCCTAATCCTTTGATTATTCCGGAACTTGTTTAGATTCAATATCTACATAAATATAACATTTCAAAACAACTATCAGAAGCCTAAACCTTAAACTTGATGTTAACAACTTAAACCAAATTAAAGAACCAAATTCCATTTTTCATTTAGGGGGAATCGATACCCCCAAGAGGAATCGATACCCCCTGAACATGCTGGAATTTTTCGTTCAAGAGGGGGAATCGATTCCCATTCAGAGGGTATCGGTTCCCTCTACCTAGAAATTGTATTTTAAACCCGAAAATCATCAATTGTTCATTCAATTCTTTTACTTTAAACCCCTACCATGTCATTAAACTCAACTACCATTACTTAAACCAACTTATATCCATGAAAATCATCTATAACTTCAAAATCCTATCCTTCATATGTAATTCAAGAATCATACTCAAATTTCAATATGTTCTAAATACAATTCTAACACTTCATATTCCTTAATTAATATGATGACAAGTCAAATTTAACTTCAAATTCAACTTATCAACTCTTTTCCATAATTTCATATAAAATCACGTTTCCTTTAATCTTTTATAACTTCTTCATCTTTTGATCATAAGATAACTTAAGCTTTCCTTAAGCTTAATTATCATCTAATGATCAAAACCTAACCTTTAATTTAACAAATAACTAACAAATTAGAAAACTCTTACCTTTGTTGTGGCTCTCTTGTATGAAGGAAGAAGAAGAAGAATTCTCTGGATATTACTTCTTTCTTCTTATCCTTTTACCCACGTATATATCCCCAACATATCACAT